TTGGAGATTTAGGGTTTGGGGTTTAGGGATTAGGCTAAAATAATGGCGTGAGAGGCTCAGGGAGACAACGGGGCATTTTTGTTGGGACTCTGTGGTCTAAGCTTTCGATGGCTTCAGAAGACCCCAGGTTCAGAGGCTACACTATATTAAAGTAAAGGGTTTAGAGAGGGTTTAGGGTTTAGGTTTTAGGTTTAGGGTTTAGGGTTTAGGGCAGAGTTTAGGGTTTAGGTAAACTCAGGGTCTAGGATATCGGGTTCGGGTGTAGCGTTGCGGGCGCCGGGTGCAGGGTTTAGGCAAATATATTTTAGGGTGTAGGGCTCAGAGTTGGGAGCCCCCTCAATAATCTGAAGGAGTTTCTACGGGGTTATCGAGGTTCAGGGCTTGCCAAGGGTGTTCTAGGGCTCAGAGGTTTACCTAGAGTAGCCAGGGTACCTCCAGCATAGTTAGGATGCGAAAAGGTCTAGGGCTAATAATTCAGAATCTTGCTGGGGGCTGAAACTTGGGGATGCCGGATCCGGAATGTAGTCTCCACAAAAACCTGAGGACCGAAAACCGTCTTTCTTTGATGGGTTTATTTATATATAATAGACATACACATAGCATAAACCACATAACCCCATGATGCAGGGTTAAAGCTCTAAGCCCCAAACCGAAACCCTGCACCCTAAACTTTAAACCCTAAACCCCTAAACCCTAAACCCTAAACCCTAAACCCTAAACCAAACCCGAAGGGTAGAGGGCTCTGGCTCTGAGCAAGAGGGGCTCGGAGGCGGAGTTGGCAGCATCAGGGCTTGGGATCTTGAGGATTTCAGGGTTAAGGGTTGAGGGTTTGGGGTTTAGGGCTTTAGGGGTTTAGGGTTTAGGGGTTTAGGGTTTAGGGGTTTAGGGTTTAGGGTTTAAGGTTTAGGGGCTTAGGGTTCAGGCCTATGAGTGAGTTTTCCACGACCTGGAGCTTAAGCCTCTAAGCATGGGCGTATGTACTTTGGGTATTTCGTCGGAAGTTGAATCGAGTTGGAGGGCTTAGGCTTTCAGTCTTGGTGGGTTTAGGGCCTTCGGCGTGTGGGTTGCGGGATTAGTTGGCTTTTTGTATACGGACGGTTTAGCCGGGAGGAGGCTATAAGGTGCAGAGTAATTCATGAGACTTGGATTGATTTCGTGTGCGGCCAGTACTGGACCTGCAGGACCTGCACACCTCTGCAGTCAAGCCAGCTGCTATGGAGCATGGTCAAAGCCAAAGGCAAGTCTTAACAGCGGTGGTCGGAACCCTAAACTTTAAACCCTACAGCCTGCAGACCTGAACCCAAACAAACGAAACCTGACTCTAAAACACCACCCTGTAGAACTCGTAAAAGTATCGTATAGAACCCTTACAGAAAACCTAAACCCTAAACCCTACGGAAACCTGAACCCTCCCTCCATCCAAACCCTAAACTCCTAACCTCCTAAACCCCTAAACCCTGATCCCTAAATCCTCAACTCTAAACGGGACCCTACACCCTAAAGCCCGTTTGCCCAAGCTCAGTCCGCAACTTTGGAATGACGACATCGTCTTGGTGAGGCGGCCAGTTTCTCGAACCATCCTAGGCTTGGGTATTCGGGTTTAGGGGTTTAGGGTTTAGGGGTTTAGGGCCGAGGGTTTCGGGTTTGGCGTACCATACTGTCGGGTTTAGGGCTTCCTCACATTTGGGGCTTATGGAGTTAAGCGTTTGTCTCGTCAACGACACCCGTCAGGCCAGTCGAACAACAAAACTACTCCGCGAGGCTTTGCCATGGAATTGTTAGATAAACATGAAACTCCTTGTGTTGACAATCCCACGCATGTTCGGAACCTGATCCCTAAACCCTGTACACTAAAAGTTCGGCCCTGTGAACCTGCGAATCAAGCTTGCATACATCTGCTTCGAGACAATGTACGTGCACATCTATGCATAGCTCGTTTTCTGCTGTATGTATATACAACCCTAAACCCTAAACCCTAAACTTATATATCCCTAAACCGATCCTTAGACCCCAAACTCCAAACCCCTAATCCCATCCTGCCTGTGCAGCTGCGTTCGTGGGTCGGACAGCTTGTACTCATGGAACCATGCGCGAAGACCGGCCTTGAACACAGGGCTTACCTTGTAAGGCTTCGAGTTGTAGGGTTCAGGATTTAAGGGTGCAGGGTTTTCGGGGTTTAGGGCATTCGGGCTCTAGGGTTTTAGGATTTCAGGGTGTAGGATTTCGGGCTTTAGGGTTTTAAGGTTTCGGGCTGCTCGTCTTCGGTCGTAGATAGGTCGTCTCTCAGCGCCGCAGATGCCTCTCACATAGCGAAAGAACGGAGGTGCACCTAGAGTTTGTGGGTCGTGCCCTAGCGTGAGGCACCTGAGCTGCTAACACTATATACGTGGACGGATGAACTGAAACAGTGCCTCAAAACGTAGGCCTGGTCTATGACGCTGGATGCATGTACTGTATCAGGGTGTTAATGGTGTATTGCACAGACTGCCGGTACATACCACCGCGTACCCACCCAACTACATAAGCTCCTACCTACCTACCTACCTACCTACCTACCTACCTACCTACCTACCTGCCGGCCT